AGCCTGCCAGCACATTTCGAGAACTGCGCTACGCAAGGAAGGAGGGTAAATACACACACACCACACACACACACTTTAACTTTCTTACTAGGCTCAACTCCTACCCTTTCACTTCATTGATTTACACCTCTCCTTCGGAGTGTGCCTTCATAAACTTTAGTGCCTTTGAATTCCTTTTCCAGTATACATACCTAGTTAACCTCTCCTGAACCTTGATCCCTTAGTTTGTATTATCCCTTAATAAATTGATTAATTGCAAACTAAACATTGGTCTCAGTAATAATTTGTGAGCGTGGTGGGAGGGTACTTTAATCTACCCTCTTAGAAACGAACCCTCAGTGACCGTTCCTCTGAGAGAGGTGGACGCTCGGGCTTTTTAACAAACCTCTCCACATTGGGGGGGGAAGTCGTGAAAACATCCTGACAGCCAGTAGCCCCCTGGTACCGGCTCGCGACATAAGCCAAAAAAAAATAATTACAAAATCCAAATCAAGAGCATTCAAAGAGCAAATTCTCATGTCATTAAGTGGCTGTAGTCATTCAGTGGTTCCTGCTTGATTTGTTTCACCTGTTTTTATTTTATACTGATCTCTTACTACTACTGGAGTGGCCTCCAGTTCTTGTAGGGATTAGTAGCACTGACCTTATCCTCCACCCACAGAATTTTGTAGTCTACACTTATACATCACCTCAGTCTTCTGTTCAATCTGGGAGATCTTTATTATTACATTATTAGATTCACCATAGAACAGATGAGGTTGGACAGGACCTCTGGAGGTCATTTGGTCCAACCTTCTTCCTGAGCCAGGCCATGCAGATCTGGCTGCCCGGGACTGTGTGTAGATGGCTTTTGATTTTCTCCAAGGACAGAGTCTACTAGTTCTCTGGACAATCTGTGCCAGTACTGAGTCACCCTCATGGTGAAAAAGATTTTCCTGATGTTCATAGAGAACCTCTGGTGTTTCAGTTTGTGCCCCTTCCATTGTGCATCACTGAGAAGAGCCTAGCTCCATCTCTACACTCTCCCTTTTGGTATTCATATGCATTGATGAGATACTCCTAAGCCTTTTCTTCTCTAAGCTGAACGCTTTCAGTTCTCGCAGCATTTTCTCACATGAGATAGAACAAGAGAGATAAAGATGAAAAATTTTTGAAGAAGGAAAAAGAAATTCCACTTTTTTTCAGTTTTAAATGGGTTTCTCAAACAGGAAAAAGTATTGAAACAAACTTCCAGATAAGATAAAAATACTATATAAGGCTATAGACTGGTCCATAATCAGATCCTTCATTACCTTAAGATGTTTCCCAGATTAAGCTGTACTACTGACCTAAAAAACAAGACTGCAAGAATTTGCCACTGAAATACCAGTATTGTTTTCACACCTTACTTTGATTTCAATAATTACATAGTGTACTGTAAGATTTTTTATAAACTGGCATTCTATATTTTATTATAAGCTAAAAGAAATTAAAATCCTGTTTAAAGAAAATGATTTTTATCTGTCATAGAAATGTTAAACTTTTAATATATAGTCTGACAAATATACATCATCAAGAACTCATAAATGTGTTGCAGCTTCCTATTTGTGAAGATGCACCTACTCAACCTCTGCTCACAAGTCTTCAGGAACTTTCTCATGCACTGAATTTGTATATAGTACCATCTCAGTCATTTTTCTAAAAGAATGTAGCAGAAATCCTACTATGGTTTCAGACCCTGACATAGCTGCACTAATGTGCAACCTCCTTTGTCAACTATAAAACCAAACATCTCTGATAATGAAACTGTTTATGACTAGGTAAAAATAGCTTCATAGTAGAATACCTTAGTGCAAGTATATTCAACTTCACCTTTACATATTATACTGGCTTTTCAAAGAACAGAATGTACTGTTTGGGGGCAAGATTTAAAGTGCTATCTATGCATCTAAAGGTCCAGGATAGAATAATAGAATAGTTTTGGTTGGAAAAGACCTTGAAGATCACCAAGTCCAACTGTTAACCCAGCACTCACAAGTATACCACTAAACCACATCCCTAAGCACCACATCTACATGTCCTTTAAATACCTGCAGGGTTTGTGACTCAACCACTTCCCTGGGCAGCCTGTTTCAATGCCAGACAATTCTTTCAGTAAAGACAATTTTCATAACAGCCAATCTAAACCTGGCCTTGGCGCAACTTAAGGCCATTTCTTCTTTTTCTATCACTTGTTGCTTGGGAGAAGAGATGAGTCCCCCTCTCACTACAATCTCTTTTCAGGTAGTTGTAGAGAGTTGTAGAGAGGTCTCTTCTCCGCCTCTTTTCTCTAGTTCTCTCAAGATGTTCCTCACAGGACTTGTTCTCTATACCCTTCACCAGCTTCATTGCCCTTCTTTGGAATCGCTCCAGCACCTTGATGTCCTTCTTCTGGCATAAATTCTTCAGTGTAAGGTTGGTGAGACACTGGAACAGGCTGCCCAGAGTTGTTGTGGGACCTCCATCTCTGGAGGTTCTTCAAACAAAGGCTGGATGGGGCTCTGAGCAGCCTGTTCTAGTGGAAGGTGTCCCTGCCCATGAAGGGGAGTTGGAAATCAATGATCTTGAAGATCCCTTCCAACACAAAAAATTACGTGATTTTAGTGAGGGGCCCAAAACTGAATACAGAACTCAAGGTCCCGCCTCACCAGTGCTGAGTACAGGGGGACAATCACTTCCCTAGTCCTGCTGGCCATACTATTTCTAATACAGGCGAGGATGCAGCTGGCCTTCTTGGCCACCTTGGCACACTGCTGGCTCATATTCAGCCAGCTCTCGACCAACAGCCCCAAGTCCTTTTCCTCTGAGCAGCTTTCCAGCCCTGCTTTTCAAGCATGCAGTGGTGCTTGGGGTTATTGTGGCTCAAACGCAGGACATGACACTTCCCTTATTGAACCTCATACAATTGGCCTCAGCCCATCAACCCAGCCTGTCCAGATCCACAGCCTTCCTACCCTCAAGCACATCAAGGCAGTATTTCCATTTCTGGTGCACCACTGTGGCTCAGCACAGGAAATAGTTCATATTTTTCCAGAAGTCACAGCTTTCTCAGGGTCCAGTACGAGGTTACACAGTCTGCTTCTACAGCAGCTAAGAAACAAACCATTGCTTTCAGTTCGGATGAATTTCAACTAGTCTCTCATGAATAACATAACATGGCTCCATCTGATAATAGCAATTACACTTTCTGCTCTGAGTAAAGAATGGACCAAAAAGTTCAGATTTGCAAATATTTGTCCTTTAAAAAAACCCCCAAACCTTCTGTGGTTAAGTAGCTTCTAGTGCACTAAGATTTGTCAACATTCACCTGCTCCCTGCCATGCCTCCTAGTCTGTGTTTGCTTGTTTTTCCTTTGCAACCTTTGCACTATGTCAAATGGGAAAGTAAAAAACAAACATCTAGACTAAAGTTACAAGTCAACCTGAAGAGCCACTGAAGTTTAACTTGACAAAAATCAGGCTATATAGTGACTAATTAGTTGCATTCCCAAGGTAGGGGAGAACTCTCTGCTTCCCCTTAGCCTTCATTTCTAACCACCATTGCAAAGCCCTACACTTCCCTTAGTCTCCTTCCCCAATCACTTCAAAGCCTCTGCTCTTCTGCCCTCCTAATAGGCGCCCAGTCCTATATACCTTGACGTCTTAAATCCCTACAACAGAAAATACAAACTACTTCAGAAAACAACATACACAGACTTACATAAATCCACCAATGCAATAAATAACTGCATATTCAATTTGAAGATTCTCTAATACTAACAAGGTGAAAACAACCTTCAAGAAATAACCTACAAAGGGAAGTTGGGACTAATTTATTTGCAAAATACAAGATGGGATGGCAAATAACAGTTGGGAGGATATGATCAGAACAAACATTTATTTTGAGAAGTAAATAAATAATCCCAAATCAACAAGATAAAATTCAGTAAGTAGTGCTTCAGTTAACAGTCATACCACAGAAAGATCTTGGTATCCACTGCATTTCACAAACTAAATATAACTCTTGCAAAAGAGCCAGTTCTTATTTAGAATTTGGCATGAAAGACAAAGTAAATATTCTACAGTATTTAGTGCTGATGAAGATTCACCCAAAATAGTACTCTGCTTTTGATCATCACATTTTAAAGCTACATGGATAAACTTAAGAAAACTTACACAGGGTCAGCAAAACATGGAAGGAGTCCAAGGAAACTACGTTGTAAGAAATTACAGCTAAATCTAGATTATAGACCACTAAGGTAGACAAAATGTTCCAGAGCAAAAATTGTTATAAACACTTGTTCACCATCTACTCTGGATAGAGAACGAAAAGGTTTGCATAAATTTCCACACAGGCAAATTTGCACTGGATATTAGGAAAAACAGAAAGAGAAGTACTAACAGATGCAAATACTATACAGTCATCTCCTGTGGAGGATTTAAGAAAATGTTAAACAAGCATAGGAAAGGCACAGGTTAAGCATACTCAAACCTGTTTGCATATACGATTTTGGATTATTCAATTTTATATGCCTGCTTTCATGCCTCTGTTTTTATTATTCACCTTTACCAAAGCCTGGATAAAAAACGAAGAGTGAATTACATCTTCCACTTCACTGAGACTAATAACAAGAAAGGATGATTCATGTTCTCATGAAGTGGAAAATGGATAAATATTGAAAATGCTGTAAAGCCTTTCATGATCTTCCTCCACAATACTTTTGCTCTCCAGTTTTTAAGGGTCATCACTTTGTAATATACAAAAATCTTAAACCAGGAACTTTAATTCCTGTTCATGCACAACATAGCCCTACTGTAAAAACCTTTGTATAATGTGATCAGTATATAAAGTACATCACTTTCACTAGTAGCACCTACAGAAATGCAATATTCTCTCTAGGCTGCTTTTCCCTTGTTGCTCAGCTTAAACTAATGTCTGAAGAAAAAAAAAAAAGTAAAATTCACCATAATAGTTTTAATTTTTTTATTATTTTTTTTTTTTAAATGGGTATTGTCCTCATATAATAGTTTAAAATATAGAGGCTATATAAACTTTCTTATAAGCAACTATATGTTATTGTCAGACAGAAAATAATTGAAAAATGAGGGAAAAAAAAATGGTGTCCACTTTTACCTGGTTTACATTCATAGAGATCGCAGCACTCCCCTGGCTTTCCTGATGCCTTAGAAACCAGTATATTCAAATAGCCAGGCTGGCAAACTTTCCTCAAACAGCCTGCAGGATTACACACACAGCGGCTCGGGAGTGGACAGCATTCACCAGGAGGAGCATAGCCTTCAATCAAGATGGAATCTTCTGGACAGCGAGGAGAAAACTGGACTTCACAGCGGGCCTTAGAGCAGTCAGGTTTCTCTTCTGAAAGGGAGAGAAAAATCAGCATGCCATAAATGTCAGTAAAACACTGCACTGAAGCTGTAAAGATGAACTCAGATAAAGCTCCTTTATCTTCTCCCCCCAAAAAAACAATAAAAAGAAAACTGCTGCTGCTGGACTGATTAGCAAAAAATTCCAGAATATGCTTTTAAAAAATCTTGATTTTGCAAAACAGCAGGTGCTTTTGAAAATACTTTACAAAAATTCTGCATTTGTGAGATATGTATCAGTGACTTCTGAATGCACACAACCTCAAAAAACAGCCATGAAGCTACACATCTGGCCATAACACTAAGAAACAACTAGTCTACATCTACATCTACTACTTTGGTTGTTGTCCTTAAAGTTAGATGGAGAATAGTAGAAACAAGTAAAAACAACTCTAAATTTATTAATCTGATGTTTAAACTACTGCGATTAAAAAAACCCAACAATCTCCAGTGATAATTTCAATGATTGAATAACACATACCAAACATGAGCACCTCTGATAAAAACTAAGTAATATCTTCTCCAACATTTTGGTAAGTCACTTTTCTGGAGTTACTGAAGTTACTGGATACTGGGTTAGGGTTTTTTGAACTAAAAGCAACACATCAATTTTTGCTTTGTTTTTTTGTTTGTTGTTTTTTGCCTTCCCCCCTCAAGAATAATTTTTACACTGAATTTCAGTATATTCTTTGGAATTCTAGGTCATATCAAGGAATCAAAGCAATATTGATTGTCTACATGGTTGATTTGCTAACTGTCCATTAGTTTCAGGGAGGGATACAAGTCCTAGACATAAAAGCGTTTAGAAAAATACTAAGATAGGTCTTAGTATTAGTAATTGCAAAAGGAAATAACAAATATAAAAACATTTGCCTCAGTTTTAGTTGCCAAATACATCAAAACAGAATAAAAAAATAACTACAACATTTTGTTCATGTGCAAGTACTTACGTTTTTTCTTACAAGCAACAGAGCTAACTTTAATGTAATACTAGATAGCATTATAACTCTTTTCTTACAGTTAAAAACTCAACTATTTCCATCTATCTTAAAAATAGCCTAGGCCAGATTTGTACTTTGCCTAGAATTTTGAATAACATTTCTAAGACCAGTATTTTTTTTACACCTACACTTATGTTTATGTCTTATCTGCTTTATTAAACACGTTTTTCAGACTGAACATTAGTGGTTACAGAGGTTCCATACAGAAAGTTGTAAAAAGAATAGGTAACATGCTAGTTTTCAGTGGTTTCAGATATTCTTTAGTTTCTGGCTATAATAAAAGGCTCAACATTTTAGCATTTAAAAATCTTTTCATTTTCCACTGCACATTGTTCAAGTGTGCACAGAGAAGTGATAGAACTGTAGTGTAGTAGCAGCCCTTGAGGTTAATGAACAGTGTGAAATTAAGGATCAACCATGAGCATCAATCCATCTGCCCTAGTGTTATGTATCCAGCCATTTCCTGATTTCTATGACTAACAGATAATCCCATCCTCATGCAGTCTCTCTTGAGAAAAGACTTCATTTTATATATATTTTGATAAATTTACCTACTATTTTTTGCTTGACAGTGTGTATGCACATACATACATGCATATTAAGATAAGTGTTTCCTTAAGGACCGTTTATATTCGACCATCTAAACCAGCTTTCAGGAAGGCAAGATTTGTCAGAAATACATATAATAACTGTTGGGATTCAGACTAGTTAGGACTCTCTATATATTTATTTTGAAACCAATGCAAAGCCTACTGTTGGAGCTGATACATGCACCTAGCAAAAATATGAAGAAAATAAGAATACATTACTATCAGTATGTAAGAAGCACCTCATGTTTCTTCAAAGTAGAAGAAATTTTAAATAGAGAACCGTGACAAGATTTCTCATATTAAATGTTCACTGTTTCATAGTTACTAACTTTTATAGTCTTTTTCACATTATTATGCTCAACGTAGTTAACTGTAGCAGAATTCAATGGGTCTCTACTATTGAATAAAACCAGGATTTCTTTCAGAGGAAATGGTTTAAACACAATCAACCACCGCCTTGCAAAGACATGTTTGTGTTTTAATACCAGGTTGTATAACACCAGCAGATATTTAGAAATAAAAATTAAATCTTTCTTTTTAATCAAGTGTCACTAACACTTTTGTACTTGATAGTCCAGAAATATAAACAAACAAAACCCTTTCCCTATAACCACTTGTGTAAATATTGTGCTTCCAAATTATAATCTCAAACCATGTATGTGGTAAAATATTGCCTTCCCAGGATACAAATGCAGCTGAGCAATGGTTAAGTCAAATATATTAACCCAAGCTGCATCAGCCAAAAGACAATTGTCCTTCAGCTTTCCTAACTCCATCCCTCAGCAAAGTCAAGGACAAGTAAAGAAACATTCTGGAGACTTTGTAATGTTTTGGTTCTTGATTTAGATGTGGTTTTATCCTTTTGTGGAAACTTTAATCAGCTTGCATTACACTACTGCAACTGCATCCCACACCCAGCGCACTCACTGTAATACAAGAAGACAGGAGTTCTGTTTTACTGCAGTTCAGTAAAAGCTGATGAGGGCTCATCTTTTTGATACCTAGCCTGTATAAAAGACATGACTTTCAAGCAGTAATTAAGAAAAGTTGCAAAGTTTTTCTTCTTGTTGCCTCAGCCAATGGTGAGCGTACTCATAATCTCTACTAACATGGATAAAGATTTATACACAAGGTATTTCTACAATTTGTTGATTAAACTTGTTTAGCTTACTTGATTGAAAGCAGCATCAAAATTGAATTTGTTCTCAAAATAAATGACAAACATTAATACAAGCACAAATGTCACTACTTTAGAAGGATTCTTGATTTATTTCCATTACAAGCAGCTACTTAAGATTTCATCGAAGAAGAGGGATGGTTTAATAGCACTTTTTTCCTTTATTAACACTTTCAGCCCTTACAAAAGGAACACTTAAAATAACATGTCAGAGACGAATGATTAACAATAAAACAACAGAATCTCAAAACACAGAAAGGTAGGGCAAGCTGGATTCCACAAAAAATAATTGTGGAGTCAGTCACCAGAGATATTTTTGCTACATTACCCTTTTTATTCACCAAACAGGGAGTATTCCTAAGCATCTTCTCAAAAGACGACAGAAGATGCACAACAACAACCTACTCCTTCTCTGTCAAATACACACATACACTATGAAGCACTGACCTGTCTTCCAGATGTTGTTTTAAGCTACTGTCTATTATTCAAATCAAGATCTTCCTAACCAACATCTTCAAAGTCAGAAAAAGGTATTGGGACATAATACCCATTTTATTTTATTATCTTAATTATGATAATAAATAGAATATAAACTGTTACTATGCATGCCCAGAAACAGGATAACTTTATTTTTCAAAGCAGTGTATGAAACCTAATTAAATGAGATTTTCGATCAAAGAGAGAACTATATACATGACTTACTATGAAATAAATCAGCACAGCAAATAAATAAGATACTTACTCCTGAATAAAGAAGCATCTTAACACACAAATTACATGGCAAGAACATATGCATGTGTCACATTTTCCTAATCCAAAATTTAAATTCCCTCAGAACAATTTCATACAACCCTAACTATATGTAGAAAGACAGTGAAACTATTTGCTGAAGGAGATGCCTGGTTTTGTAATTAAGAGTTTGTACTCAGGACACTGATCACGCTAATGAAAAAAATATTTTTGTAAAACTTTGTTCCATCTCTATCCTTGAACCAGCTCAGCTCATAGGTTCATTTAATAAGTTGACTGTTTCAGCAAGGCAAGAAATTGTTTATACAAGTCACCAATTAATGTAATGAAGTGAGGAATTGTAAACAATTTTGCTGTTCAATTTTCACAGAACCAGACAGTTAATGGAAAAAGCATATACAACTCAATCACATTTCAGTCTCTCCTTTATAAAAAAGGAAACCATTAACAAGGAGAACAATTACTTGTCAAGGATGCATCCACCAAACTTCTCATAAATTGAGTCCGAATAGATAACCTACAACCCACTAAGAAAAACTTAGTTGGCTGCAAATGTTGCCTTTATATTAAAAAAAAAAAAGCAGTATTTCAAATGACTACACAAAGAGCAGAAACTATCAGTTGATTTGCTGATGAGGTTTCTCTGTGGGACGCATTCTCTTTATAGCTTTTCATCCAACACCACTGAAGCTGGAAGCGTACTGGTATCTCTGACACCTCACCAGTCTTAAGCCAACAAAAAATCTCTACAGAGATAAAGCAAGAGTCTGATCAGTCAAGCTTTTACAAACTATCTATTCACAAATGTATCTGGAAAGATAAATGGAATACAATCCAAAAAGGAAAACCGGTATTTTGATGAATTCAAAATACAACTCCTAACCTTGGAAACAAACTTCTAGTCTAAAAGGCAGCCCTAGAGACTGCATAAAAATATGGAGTTTAGCAGTGGTAATACTATTACTCTAGCTATAGATTACTACAAGTAACAGATTTGCACAGATTTGCATGTCATGACAACCTTTACTTTCTGTAGGTCTGAAGGTTCAGGCTTGCTTGCTGTTCCTCTGCAGTTAGTGTGCAAGAACAACCTGCCATTACCAGGCACTTGCTGGAGGACACCCTACAGTTACCAAGAAGAACCCAAACACCTAAGTTACAAAGTGTAACTGAACAGTAAAGGCTGGCTAAGTTACAATGTGCTGTGTGCTTTGAAGTGAAAACAGGGATCATTCATTTAAAGAGTCAGGATGTCTTAAAAAACATTTCAGCTCAGCAGCACACAGGAAACCTGTAGCATCTCAGAAGTCAAGACATAACATTCAAACTGAACTTTCACTGTAACCATGGTATATTTTTTATAAAGTACATAAGGTGGAGGAGAGCAATCTTCAAAGCAAAGAATAAAAAGAAGAAATCAAGATGTGGATTTTTTTAAAATTATGCTTCCCAAGACCTCATGAAGTTGTCACAG